ATAAGCATAAATATATGTAATCATTTTTTTTTTTGTTTATTTTATATATTAATTGGTAGCGGAAATTCTTTTACTTTTTAGACAAAATTCAGTTTTATAAAAATTTGTAATGATTTTAATATACATTAACATTTTATTTTTTCTAATGGAGATTATATGAGCGTTTTGAATAATAATATATTATTAATAAATTAACAAACACTTGCAAATTATAATCTCGATAAATACTCTATTTTACAAAAATAAATCTAAATTTGTCAGAATCTCTGTTATTATTAGTCTTTGTTCTTTTTAGTAAAATCTTTTTTAAGTTTTATTAATTGGTTTCAAAAATATATATACGTAAACATTGTAATACAGAGTACATGTCGATTAAATTTTTTTTTATTGTAGTTTAAATAAAAATTTTAAATTTATTTATCAAAAATTAATATTTTATATTAATATTATTCTCAGTATAATACTAAGATTTAAAAATACATATTTCTGAAAATTGTTAGTACCAATTCAGAAAATTTAAAAAATTTTATAAAATGTTCATATAATCTTACATTAGTCTAATACTTCATGTTATTTCATATTTTTATATATTTTTGCTTATACTTTAACACTATTATTATATCCAAATCGCATATAAATACAATATTGCTTATAAGTCATATTTAAACTTTAGTTTATAATATTAAATATTTTTAATTATTCAATTAATTTTTATGTTGTTATTATTATAAATTTGTTATTTATGAATTAATTAGTCAATCAACGAAAACAAAATGGCAGTTCACTCAAAATTCATTATAAATAAAACGCTATGCAAAAAAATGTATTTTATTTTAGTATTTACGCACATTGTTATCAATATTATTGTAATCATTTTGTAATATGTAAATTAAATTGTTTTGTATTGTTATCTAATGTACCAAATTAGAAATAAATTGAAATCATTAATTCTAAGCATTCAATTCATTAAAATTATATATTATATAAATCGTTCTATACAAATAAATACATATGTATTTATATATATGCATAATAACATGTATGTATTGTGTTTATGTCTATATATCTATATATATGTACATCATATTTGAAAAATGATTAGAATATAAAAAATATTGCTTGTAAATAAAAAATAAAAAGCAAATTTAATAAAATAGAATAAAATTTATGATGTGTAAAAATTAATAATTTCATTAAACTGAATGCATCAGCAAAGCAAAATAGAAAAAAACATTTTTCATCATACAGTAAAATTATTTTAAATAACAATTAAATAAAACAGGAATTAAATTTATAATATAAATATGTAAAGAATTGAAAATTTTGCATGAACACAAAAATACAACAAATAAATATAACTGTAATAAAAAGAAACTATATATATATATATTATTATAAAATAAATGTAACAAAATTAAAGGAGAAAAAAACATTATATTTACTATTTTATAATAAAAAAAAAATAAAACAAATACAAATAAATATTTAGCAAATAAACGACAATTAACGAAATATGTAAAAGAAATTATAATTATATAAATACTTATATATGATTTGTAAAAACACAATTTGCAAACTTAAATAAATTTTTATTAAAGAATTCTCTTTTAGTGAATATACGCTAAATTTAAGAAAATAATTTATTTTATTTTGCTTTAATAAATTGTTTTTATTATATAAAATGTAAAGCAAATGTGAAGAATTACAAAACAAAAAAAAAAAAAAACTGAAATAAACAAAAATATATATTTTATTGTATTTATTTACATATTATTTAAGAAACAAAAAACAAAAAAATCTTATATGAATACAATAAAAATATTTAATTTTGTTTTAAAAAGAAGAGAATTTTTATGTTTTATTTTCAATTGTTAATTTTTCTTTTTATTTTATACTTTTTATATATAACATATATATATATTTTTTGAATTTAAAGAAATAAGAAATAATTATTGAAAATTGTAAAGTCTATAATGCAAAAAAGAATGAAAAAAGAACTTATTATTAATTAGTTTTTAATAAACAAAAAAAAAAAAAACAAAAAAATATAAATAAAAAACGCAAAAACTAAAAATAATTGCAGTTCTTAATTGTTATCGTGTTGTTTTGTTATGGGTAAAGTTCCAAAAATAATTTAGAAAAAATTGTTTAAAATATATAGCGTTACTATTTACTTTTGCTAAATAATAATATTTTTAGATAACAGTTTTTACAATAAGATTAAATTGAACAGATAATAATGTAGAGTAAAGCTGCAGATTCGTTAGACGTAAGTAATGGATAAAAAACATGTGAGAGGTAATTGTTTAACACATGGATATAACTTGAAGTGAATTGGGACTAAATGAAAATGATTTTAATTGAGGAAGAGATTTTTCTTCTTTGCAAATTACAGTTGGCAGTTGGTTAAGAATTGAGTTGTAGTGCATATAAAATCTTAGCAAAAATTTAGCTCAGGTGCCTATATACACTTAAACATAGTGTTTTTAGTTTTCGATGATATTTTTCTCCTTCCTATAATAATTGTCGATACAGTCGAGATAAGAAGGCAGTGGTTATCATATTCAACGGTAACTTAGAGTTGTACTGATATCGGTGTAATTTGGTTGACTATTCACAAGCACGCAAATAGTAAATGCTGCTTTTAGTGGGTTCAAGATAGTTGCTTTCATAAGGAGCATTTAAGTATTTGTGACAAGGGAGAATTGCCGACGAATATCTGTACTGTCAATTTTCAGAATAACTGAATGTCATCAATAATCGCTTAAAGCAAACTAAACAATAGCTTGCTATTTAGAACAAGGTCTGATGTGCTGCTTGAAGGAACGTTGAGGTTACTGATAGATATGTACGAAGACAAGGATACTTGTTCACTGTAAATTGAGTATGGTGACTAAGAATTGAGTTTTTAATCGAGAGCTTACCCGCATTTACGGACAATGAAAATCTATTCTTCAAAAATATTTCTATTTGTAGAAATTGATTGTAGTTGCCGAAATTACTTTTTTGCTCTAGAAAGTGAAAGTGAACGTAGTAAATTCATTATTTGAAGTACGAAAATGTTTTACAATTTAAAAAACCAGTTGACTATAAAACTATGGATTAATTATTTTAAAAAGTGTTAAGTGTTTTGACTTATTTAACTGAAAGTATCAGATTCGATTCGAGAGATTGCAAGTATCAAGTTTCGAACTGGTAGCCAAATTTGAAGCTCAAGTCAGTGTTAATTAGCCAACTGATCCAAAGCTGTACTTGACTTGTATTTTTTTAATTTTAAATTTTGTTAATTTGCTGTGAAAGTTCATTAACAAAATCACTCGCCGTGTTACATTAGAAGGATTTTTGTTTTAAGCTTCGCAATGGTGATATTTTACTTCGTTTGTGGTTCCAGTGAATTGCTGGTCTATTTTCAACAAAATTTAAAGGACCCAGTCATTGATTTTTTTCGATATTTCACGTAAGTTGTAAAGTGTTTCAGTTGGAGAACATATCATTGCTAATGTAAAAATTTGTAATGTCTGGTTTGCTAGTTAACGTGTGAATCTTTAAATAATTTAATATGAAATCATATAATTACAAATTAATGCAATAACGTAATAAGTTTACTGGTTAAAATAATTTGTACACAAACAAATCCCTAAACTTAAAGCTCGAAACAGTGTGTCACAAACAATAGTGGTAATATCTCCAAGGAAACCTAGAACAAAATAAATAGGTTATGTTCGGTTAAATACCTGGCTGCAAATCTAACACACATATATCTAGTATCTAGTGTTCTGTGTGTTACCAATTAGAGTAAGAACCCTATGCAAACTTGTAGTAGATATCACCTAAGATATGGAGACTTTCTGGAAAATTTATGCTTATCCGTGTCAATGCTGAACATAAACATAAGAGATGTTCCAAAAGCTTCTTTCTTCTCAGTTCTCTACTTTTGTCATTTCTGGTAATTATGTTGTATGTTGTATTGCTGAGAGACTGGGGACTATATATATAACCATGATAGTTTTGCAAGCCTTTTATAACTTCAACTGTTGTGCACATGCTTTTAGTAATTTTATAGCAGGTTGAACTGTTCTACCTTACCATTATCTATCTTTTTGTATCTTTGTCGATAAAATAAAAAAATCCAAATATATTTTTATTATAGTTTATATATTCTTCGCATATACGAGTAAGAAAGGTTTATTTTTTATTACATCTTATATTTAAAACTATGTATATATTTTTTATAAGGATTTTTAAAAAAGTTTTTGTATTTCATTATTGTTACCATATGTTGCGCTATACCCATATAAATGCGCAGAACATATTTTGAAATTAAATATTAACATACTTTGGAACATGTTTGAATATAGTAAAATTATTATTTATTAATGTAGTTTTTACACTTAAAGAAAATTATAATTTCTAAAACAGTACTTATTTAAATTTGCACATACATATTACAATATCCGCTTATATATGTTACAATCAGTTTAATATTAAAAGATATTTTCTTTAAGTGTAGTATATGTATGTATTTTACAATTATTTTTAAACGTTATTCTATTCAGTTTGGTTTATTAAATCGCTTAAGAATTACCTTTAAAGCATTTTTGGAGGCACAAATTTATCTACTAATAATAAAATAATTATATAAAAACAGTAAACTAGTAACCCTTCGGGTAAGGATTTTTTTTATAATTTTTAAATAATATAAAATTTAATTATTTCTTTTTTATAATTGCAATTTTGAATATATACAAAATAAATTTTTACAATCGGTCTTACTAAATTGTTTACATGTAAAATAATAAAAATTAAACTAGAAAAATATAATTTAAAGTTAATACCGGAATTTGATTAATTGCTTATAATTATTTTCATATTTTAATGTTAAATCGTAAAGTTAAAATCGAATATTAACAAGATTTAGGTAGTTAAATACTTTTGGTTATTTGTCTCTATTGCATTTATTTTATTTTTTTTTTAAACTATGTAGAAATAAAATATATTTTTCGTTACAGTTAAATTTAGGACTTTTCTATTTGTTTTACAATAGTTCTTTGATTTTTTTTATAATTAAAATAGGGAAGTGCTAAATAACCAGCTTTTTGAACAAACACGAATATTAAGTAACGTATAAGTAAAAATCATAAAAAATAAAAGCCCAATTTTATATCGAATTGGGCATATAATTTGTTTTTGACTTCCCTTAGAGCATTATATGCAGTCACTTCTCTTAAATAAAATAACGATTCACAGACTTAGTGAGTGTGAATGTTATTAAGAATTGCGACAATTTTCTATAACATCAGGCGTCAGTGCGATCTCATTTGTTGTGGTGGGGGTCGGTGTAGATGGATTTGATTTTGGGACAGTACAACGCGAAATCAATTGTTCATATGCCTTATTATGTAGGAAACAGACTAATACTACGGTCATATTATCGCCGCCAAGTCCACCCATCTGGCAATCTGGTGCTAAACAGAGATTCATCAACTCTTCGCAAATCTCTTCCGGTTGCATGCCAGCTCCAATACGCTTACGACAAAAATCGATAACTTCCTTATTGCTCATAACATCCCAGATACCATCACAAGCTATTATAATGAATTCCCAATCTTCGGTTATTTTACGTTTTTCAACATCCGGATAGGCTGCAGGGAAGAGAAAAGAAAATGTTATATATAATAATTGACTAGTAATATTAATATCAGAACAAAAAACATGTTAATAGTATTTAAAACATCGAATTGTGGTCATCGGGCATGGAGTAAGATATTACCAGAGCTAGGTGAAATGTACTTATATTATTGGAATTTCTGTTTGTTAAAAGAGAATTTGATGTACTAATAGATATGTTGATTTTTATGATAAAATTATACTAATATAAAAATAATTATAAATTATTTCCATACAATATTGGAAAAAGTAGTGCAGAGAATATTGTGGTTAAATTTTAATTGCAAAAAAATTATAAATGTATTCATATTTCATATAATATATATTTTAAAAAAGGGAACAGAGGTCAATTCTCTCAATTAATGTGGTTTTTGTGACAAAGGATTAATATAAATGAATATCAAAAAATAAATTAAATAATGTAAAACTATTAACTTGAATGACGATTGGAAAAACTTGGCATCTGATCGAGTCAGATGACAAAAATTCGTTGGGGAAGCACTGGTTCATCCAGAACTACTATGCTAAGAAAGAAAAAGATTAATTAATTCTGTTTATATCATTTAAGTAAAATATGTGATATTTGTCTTCGTTACTTAAACCAAGTGTGTGGAAAAACAAACTTGTCGGTGGGTTTACGTTCTGGAACTATTCGTAATTTTAAATGATCAATTGCTGCTTGCCTCTCCTAATTCGAATTACTTCAATATGCTACAAACATCTATAAGAATTTTTATAACAAAATGCAAAAGGTTGTGTAGTAGTAATTTGGTTATGAGAGAATGGGAGAATCCATTGCGTTACTCCAGGCATATTGTTAAAAGATGTTCGCCTTCCAAATGTTTTGGTTTCATTCCCTTATAAAGAAGATTTCTATGCCACATTTTTTTCAACTTCCTTTGAGAATTTTTTGAGGATTCTGATGTCAGTTTTTCAGTTCTATGGAAGAAGAAGGAACACCAAAGTTCTTCGGTGTACTCGAAATCGATTTTCTAAAGAATCAAAGTCCTTGACCTTTGGTTATTTTTGCGGAAGTCAAAAAGATCTCTATGCAACTCTAAACTTAATAATAATAAAATATCTATTCCAACATAGTCATATATTTCATATACTGAATTAAATTTTGTGAAACAACTTAGTATAATATTTTTTCAATATATTTAAAAAGAAATGCATATTATCTTATAAGGGCCCCTTGCCGTAAAGTATTTGTTTCACAACAACTATTTGAACATACTAAATTTTGGTTAGGGTAATGTTATTTAACTTGCAATAAAGCATAATTCATAAGTTTATCAGGCAATTTTTTTTAAGTTTTGTTTTCAAATTACTTTAAGAAATCAATAAACTGATAAGAATTTGTTAGAGATAACACCAAGTTACAAGTAAAAATCCAAAATAAAAACAGAAATCATATGAGTCATTTTATTTTTACCTGTAACGATTTGTTCTTCAGGCTTTTTTGCAGAATTGCGTTTGAAAACGAAGTCTCCAAGGGCACGGGAAAGTGCTAAATTACCATTCACACGATTGAATTCTACCCAACCGCCAGCTTTTGTGATACGTTTTGTCTCATTCTCATTATTTGGTTTATGGTCCATTGATAAGATCTCCACCTCTCCGTTGATACAAGCAACAGCACGCGAGTCTCCAGCATTTGCACAGTACAAATAATTATCTTTAATGAGTACAACGACAGCAGTGGAACCAGCCATCTGATCACCCCAAGACTCGTTATACAACATTTCATAATCAATATCAAGAAAAGCCTGAAATAAAATATATATTAATAATAAAAAAAAATTTCATAAAATGATCAATTTTACTTACTTGTTTTAATGCTAATTCCACATTATCTTTATATTCGGGACGCTTTAATATAAATTTATGTAAATGTTTTCCAGCATATTGTGCCACCGTTGCCCCACCATGACCGTCATAAACTGCAAAGAACGAAGTACCTGGATCATCTGGTAAAGATAATATATGTGTGTGTGAATCTTCCATATTAATTCGCCATCCCTGCATACAACTAGAACCAACTCTATATTGACTGTTCTGACAATATGAGGATTCCTTTGCAGTCACTGGTTCTGATAATGTTTGACCCATTTTAGATGTTGATTATAACGGTGAAGTAAATACAAGTCAGTATTTACCCAAGCGGGTATTGGCTAAAAACTACATATAAAAATAAAAATTTTAATAATTCTATTTTTATTATTTTATTTATAAGTATTTTTTATTTTAGTCTTATGACTTTAAAATCAGAAACAAAATTTATTTCAACTTAAAAAAAAGTTATAAGTACATTCTATAAAAATTTGTATTTTTGACTGAAGTAAAAAGCAAAGTAGTATAGTAAAATATCAATTTGTTGTGATTTAGGGTAAAAGGCTTAAAACTTCTAGAAAAAAATGTTAGACGGATTAGAGGTATCACAGATATATATATGCAGTGCGTTGCGTGTTGCCTGTGCTTATAGAAAAGTGTGTAATGATACAATTTGTGTCACGGCTGGATAGCTACCACTGGACACAAATGCAAAAGAGCTAAGCCGTCTTTATGACAGGCAAGACATGACACCGATGACAAATCAAAAATCTGCTGATCGCTCATATTCACTTAGAGGATGACAGCAAAGATTGGAGCACTGCTCCAAGAGACGATGGACATATGCATTATGCACAAATGAAACCACATAGGCTAAAAAATGTAGGTAATTGACGAAATGACGACAAAAAAAAAGAAACAGATGTTTTGAGCTCTGAACACCCTCTGTGCGAAATACCAAATCGGTGATCCCGAGAGTGTAAGCAGTCGTTCTTCGGGGTGATTTAAAGTCTCACACTGACTTATGATTTCGTTTGCTTTACACCTCGTTAAAAAAATGCTTCAACATCTGCTATTTTGTTTTTTATTTTACATATCTTATTTCATATATATTTTTCTAACCTCTCCTTTCTTTCCAATCTATTTTCAGTGTATGTTTTGTAGTTCAATGATGTCAGTTTTTATAATCGTAATAACCGTATAATCGTAACAATAAGGAGCTACATATAAATAAGCTGAAGGAAAAAAACATAATTTAAAAAAATACTTTCACTGCGGATTAAGTCATTCTTCTTTTCATAATAGCTAGTCCTAATAAATGCGCTTTATTTTGACTTTTTTTCGATAAACATGTATACGGAATTTACAATACTACATGAGTATAAAGGGACAGATGTACCTCGTACAGCAAGAACTATCCTAGCTCAATTGAGTTCAGGATATAATCGAGTGTTAAACAGTTACTTGTCGCACGTAAACACGTTTATTCTTAATGTATGCCCAAACTACGGTTCTACCCCCATGACGTCGGCCTTCTGTTCTCTTGTCCTACTGCACACACAAACTTTCGTTCAATTGACCTTTGGACTCATTCCATTGAAGTACCAGGTTTCTCCGACTGGATCTGAGTTAATCTTCAATTTAATTTCTACCAATCTCAATCTACCCCTTCTTTCTATTCCCCCTCTATCGCCTTTAACAGCCACCCATCCATATTCTAACACATTTAATCGTCATGTAAATGTTTTCCTGTTATCTGCTTTCAGGTCGCAAGCGGGTTACAACAACAAAATAAAGGCACATCTATAATAGTGGGGATTTTAATATATTTAAGTAGACATTTCCCTATATAATAATTCAAGTTACAGATGCTTAACATCAATCTTTTTTTTTCAATAAAATGTACCATGAAAACACGGCTAATATAGTTATCCTTGATGGACTTTAATATATTTAATTTAAAAGTTTCTTAAAATAAGATGTAAGTACTTGCCTTATATGTAAGAAGTCAGGTAATCAGATAATAATTATGGAATATATTGTATATAAGAGGTAGTCGTTTTTACTAGTATAAATAAAATTCCAAACTTTAATCTTCTTATATTAAAGAATGACGAGGTGGGGCTAAGTGGAAACGCAAAATATCCTGGATATTTTAACTTCTTATCATCCTGGATAAGAAGTTAAATTTAAGCCTCAATATAAACGAAAGGGTAAAAAGGCAGTTAATTATAACAGATTATTCACATTTACTCGTATATTTGCGGTAGTAAAACGGTAAGTCTTTTGATCTATTTCCAAGTTCAAATAGAAGTATGAGTAGATTATAAAATAATAATAATAGATTATAATATAATCTTAACATTTGATATTAGTTTTAGGATATTGTACTATATAATTATAAGAAATTAATTACATTTCATGATTTTTGACTAATGCAAAAATATTTTAAATTCATTCAAATTATTCAATAAATTCTATTGTAGCATAAGTATTTATAGATTCTTTTGTAATATTTAATAGAATTTGCGTTACTGGTTATTAGCATGAGCATGCCAGTTTTTTAAACTGATCTAATACGTTGTGAATTATTGTATGTCATCATTATGTAAAAATGCGTGGTCTGCTTTATTAATGTAGTAATTGCATTCATTACGAGTAAATTAAAAAAAAAAGCACTAGACACTAGACACGAATTACATATGTCAGGAAAATGTTTGATTATGATTCATTAGAAATTATACTTAAAGATACTCGTATCTTATATTTTTTAAAGCAGAGATACAACGATACTTAAGTAGTATATTTGCTAGTTCAATGAATTTGCAAAACAGTTTTAATCTTTTTGATAATGAAAGCTGTGTTTTCATGTCTTCTGATATATTCCACTTAATTATATATTTTTTTTTGTATTGATTCAGAAATAGAATTGGTGAAACCAGCTGAGCGTAAATTTATCAATAAAAAATTTAAATGGTTACGTACTACGTAGATCATGACTCAATATTACTACCATCTTGTGATCATTTACTTAACTAAATATTATACTGATTTCATTGATTTTTATACTATTTATTAGAAAACATATTGTGGAAATTTTTTACACTTAATGGATATAATTTTTTTCAGTGGCTTATAAAAAATAAATTTAGATAAAAGAATTATCACTGAAACTGATAGACATTAAAGCTATTAACTTAAAGTAGGTGACACGTGAGTTTTCATTGATAACATGTAGAAAACTTGAAGTTCTATATACAAAACATATACATATAGTATAGTAAAAGGTTTATATAAGTAATTTAAAATTCTTATCTATTATTTTTTTATCAAATAGATTTATTTTTTTTTTCTAAAATATATATTTTTCTGTGGTAGTAGTAGTTGTTGTTGTTGTTGTGATTTGAGTTAGTGCTATTGCGCACATTTACTCTTTTGTGGCTGGGGGGGCTTATCCCTGTCCCACATTAAGCTTTAACTATACTAGAATTATTATCATTTATTTATCTTTTAACCGATGACGGACCGTAGATCAGCATATCTTCCTGTGCGTCCTGAGGTGAGTTAGTGTTTTCATTATAAAATAATTAATTGAAATTTTATATATATATTTTATATATATAAGTGTAGAGATTCCAAGTTACTCAGCACAAATTGAAATTACTTTACAAACCACGTAATTTTTATTATATTTCAAAAATCAAATATTTTGACAGTTTTAAGATTAAACAAAGTATGTAGATCATCTACATATTACTCATTATTTGTATATTTATATATAGATGTAATATATCACTGTCATTAAGATATTAAGAAATAAACGTTTAAATGACTCAATTCTTGGAACAAAAATTTTTACTTACTTTTTAAGTTTTTTTTTTAATATTCATTATAGTAAATATTTGAATGTAAACAATAATATTTGCAATATGAAATAATTTATATTTACATTAAGTAAGAAATTATGAACTCCATTTTTGTTATTGTATTTTTTTAATATGACTCGGAAATTAAAACAGAATTTATATAATGAAATATTGTATGAATAATTATTCCCCATCTTGGTTACGTCTCCACAAAGATCCAATACTTTCATGTGGGTTTCATTCAAACGAATAAGGTTTAGTCTTGAATTTTCATCTGGGTTTCATTAAACTGAATGTTCTTTCATATCTTGAACCAAAGAACAATGCTAGGTGCATTAAGTCTTACTCTTTTACAAAAAATCTTGAAGATCCTACCATTATTTCCTACTATATGTTTATATTTAGAGAATATTCCCAAATAAACTTTACATACTTATAATTAATAAGTATATAAGTAAATTACTTATAGCTTGCTTGTCATTGTGAAAGAATTACCAGATTTTGGAGGTTGGCTTTTTCTATTTATCTGAGAACTTTTGGCAAACAAGTGTTTGCTTAAAATAGTAGAAAGTATACTATATAGAGTATTTAGAAAATGTATTTAAATGAATGACAACGCTATTCACAGTTGTAAATTTATCTTCATCAGCAAAAGTGAAAGTAAGTTCATTGACGAACTCTTGTCTTAATAACTCATATAGAATAAATAAGCTATGCTCGTCTTAATTAAAAGGCCTTTAGAGTAGAATGGTTAGAAGCTAGGAGCGCCCAACTAGATGACATTGGTTTGAAATCAGTTCTTGAAGGAGACTAAGACAGGCCCTACCAGTGACATTGACAAAGTTTTTTTTTGTAAGTACATTATATATTATACTGTCACTCAAGTGGTCTGTTGTACTAACCGTAGTTTTTTTTAAGCGGTCATTAGGTTTTTTATTAAATGTTTGCAGCTTTGACAGTTTTATTTTGTTCCACATATTGAACAGGATAACAAATCTGTCTTCCAGATGAATAGTTTGCCGCTGCTGCTAAGTTTTGTTTATTTACAGACGGGGTGTACAGACGTTGAAAAGTAGATAAAAGTAGATTTTGTAGATATGATACATAATTAATAGTAGTTAGTGTGAATATTGATATTCCCTTTAGTGCAGGGAGTCGAGCTGAACGTAAGAAGTCTAGCTCTTCTTATCCTATATGATTACTGGAAGTAGACTACTACAGTGTAAGAAATCCAGCTTAATGTAAAGAGTTTAGCTTAGTGCAAAGAGTGTAGCTAAGTGCAGGGAGTCTAGTTCAGTGCAGTGTCTAGCTTAATGTAAGAAGACTAGCTCAGTGCAAAGAGTTTATCGTAGTGCAAGGAGTTTAGTTCAGTGTAAAGAGTCTAGCTCAACCTATACAATCTGCTTACTGTAAGTAAACTTCTTCAGTGCAGGTGAGCTTAGCTCAGTGCAAGGATTTCAGTTCAGTGCAAAGACTTTATCG